CTCGCGAGTTATTTTCCTATACTTTTCGCTCCACGATTTAATTGGCCGTTATCAAGAGTTAGCAGCTGCAAGGAAGTTTGCGAGAAAGAGCAATTTTCCGATAATGAGAATCGAACACGTCGGCTTTTAATCGCAAATGACAGGATTGTGTCGCGGGAATCTTAATGAATTGTGTGTCAATGTCGCGCGCGCGCTCAGTGTTTGTTGAGAGCGACGACGACGCTTTCGCAATTAAAAGAAAATTCCACTGCAATTAATTCGCAGCGATGCCTGTTTAATGGAAAGCAGCTCGCTTAATTAAGCAGTAAATTACGGCTAACACGAGATACCGCTTAAAGGTAGAAAACCAATTTAATTAGCTGAATCGTGTCATTTATGTTACAAATTTCTATTTTGTGATAACTTTTGCAACAATTTTTTCCGAAACTTTTATAAGTTTAATTATCACGGAACCGGAGGATAACATTTTGACTTTTGACCATGTGCTCGGACGTTCAGTGTCCACAGGGGTAAGAAAAGGCCTACCTTGAACTGCTGCGGCCGATCTTCCTGCAGTCCCGATCCCGAAGAAGCGAAGCACTGATTTAAAAAAAAGAGGTCCGCGAAGACATTTTCTGTCAAAATTCCCCACAAAAAAAACTTGTTAAATGCGACTTTCCTTGCTTCGCCGCACACACCGAACACACAACACTGATGACTTTCTTTGTGTACGTAAAGTCATCTGAAAATTATAAATGATTGATGACTTTGGCTTATTCCACGCAACTGATTGGCCTACCCCTGACTTAGGCAATTTTTTGCATATTAATGGCGGGAAGGGCACTCATGTCATTCTTAAATTGGCGAGCAGATCAGATAATACCGTAAGAGTCATCACTAGTTTTATTTTGAGACGCTAAATCCAACTATATTCGGAAAATTTTATTTAATTTTATAAATAAAAAAAAAATCATAAACATGAAAGAAATTAAATTAATGTTTTAATAAAAGAGAGCATAAAAGCCTTCAATGCAAATTTTTTTAATAAAATTTCAACATAATTGAATTTATTAACGCATCAAATACAATGCAAATATAATTACAAATATAATAGTAACTGAATTTTTGAACTGATATTCAGAAGAAGAGAATTATTTAATATCCAATAGGATCATATTTAATAAGCTAAAACAAGCGCAATTTTAACCTGATAATGATCTGATTGCACGGCCCAAATACTTAACTGTAAACACACCGTGCCTAACGCGATCGTCAAATTTCATCTCGCCGTCAGCACACAATGAAAAGAAATCTATGCAAATTGCCATTGGTAAAAGTTGCGAAGGAGGCAGCAGCATAGCTATTAGAATTTGAGCCCACAGCATGAATAGCATAACGCTTAAGCGGTGCATTGTTCAGTTTTCTCTAATTTAAATATAAAGTATCGGGCAGCTACTGACATGCTGATGAAAGGGGCGATACATAAATTTCAGCGATTTAGCTGTTCGGACGATTTACATCCAAGCTTGATATGTTTGCATCACCTTTAGGGCTTTCTTCTCAATTGTTTTGGACATGCAGAGTGCAAACTTTGTTAATTCAATTACGGGTTGGCTATACGCGTGAATAAATAAAAAAAGGCCAAGCAATCTTTGTTGAAACATAATTATGGTGATTTGAATTTAAATTTGGCTTTTCCTCGAAGGGTATTACGAGTTTTTATTGTTTGAGAAAAGCAAACATGTTTGTGCCCCAAATAATGAAACAATTGAACTAGAATATTTATTTTATAATTAAATTTAAAAATTTAAGAGAAGAATTTATTATTTAATGAATAAAAAATATGAAAAGAAAACTTAATATTACCCAAAAATGCTTTATGATTTATGATAAAATAATTTTTTCACTTTTCAGGAAGTTTAATTTTTTCTGGAGTATTATTATGTGTACAAATAAATATTTTTTAAATTAATATTACTGTTTAATTGCTGTTAATGTAATAGATAGCAAGAAATTGAATCAATCTTTCCATGAATACCACGCACTACCATTTTTTCTTGAAAACCAATGCAAGGTTGATCAGTTCTGATTTCTGAATTAATTAAAGCGCAATTATCCCTATTTATGTATACCATGAAAGCCAATTACCAATCACGCGGATCAAAAGAAAAACATCCGCCGCCGCTCGCTCGCGCGCACAATTTGTTTATCTGTTCACAGCTTGGCCGCGATTAACAGGTTTACTGGTGCGTCAATCATCACGACCGCCATCGTTGTCCAAATGAGGAGTTCGCGGCCGCCGCGAATGAAAATAATGCAAACAAGTCGCGCGGCACGGGTCAGCTTTCCAATACGTGATCGCTGCTGCAAATTAAGTATAGCAACTTCCTATAATGAATGTCAACTCGCTCATTAATTTTTCATCATAGATCAGCACACACGCCAATCAATGCTAATTTCACTCTGTCCTTGTCGACATGAACAATATGATCATTAAATTATTAAAATTAATGCTGATCAATTTAGCACATTGATTGTGTTGTTGAGCAGTTTTTTATTACTTCATTTTAATGTTTTTAGCGATTTTTAGGTTGATGCGATCTTGATGTAACAAACTCTTACTGATTTGACACAAAAAGTTTTCAAATTTAAATTTCACGTAATATTATTGATATTGGCCAATTCATGATGTTCTTAGGTTGTGATAAACGGAATTACTGATAAGCAGTCATCGATGTGATTTTCATTAATTTTTGACTGTAATGTGCGATCGGAAAATTTAAAAAATATGTTTTCAAACCATAACTAAGTTCAATAATATAGTTTAAAATGGTAAAATGTATATAATATATAAAAAATTTAATAATTTAATAAGACTAAATTAAGTAAAAATTGCTTTATAAATGTAGAGAATTTCTTAATAACCAATTAAATGAAATTAATTTAATTGATGACGGACACATTATTGAAAATGATGTTAATTCCACTTTTTTTTTTATTAAAATAAGAAATAAATCTAAATATCAACTAACTTGAATTGCGATGCGACTTTTGAACGTCATCGTGGCTCCTTGAATGGACACTTCAGACCAAAGCTTCAACCTTGCCCATAACTATAGGTCTAAAAAATATTTAAAACCCTATAAAATTACTGAATGATTTACAGGGCAATTTTTTATTTAAAATTATAACACACCACAAGCCAATTATTTAAATTAAACAAAATTTAATTTTTTGTTATGAAAACAGCACTATTTTTTACATAATAATTTTATGTGTAAAAGACTTTTCAAAAGACAAATTTATATATTTAAATAAATTACTTGATATATTATTGCATTTGAATAAAAAAAAAATGCTGCCCCACTGAGGCAATCCGAGTTATGCAGCCGGCGCGGCAGACCTACCGTGATGGTTGCCTACGCTGTCAAGCGAGTCGCACACGTTTTTCAAGCGTCGGTCCGGCAGGCAGGTGCTCTCCGTCGTCGTCATTAATTCCTCCTGAAATGCGCCTCGTCATCACACACGGCCGACTCGTCAGGGTGATTATCGCAAATAGCAACATAGTATAGAGAGAAACTGGGCTAATGTTGGCCACACACAAACAACAACATCAAACGCTACCAGCTCCATTGTATTGATACATAGATTCGAATTATATGAATTGCTCAAGTGGCTGCATGCATTGTCAGACGGACAATTAAGGATAGACGTCACTTGTTTCTAATTAACAATGACTGGCAAATTGGGTCAATCCAAACGTATTTAATCACCGGCCATCTCTCTCATCGTGCGAGATGAGAGAGAGAGAGGGAACTCTACTAGGACTTGTTTGTTTTTGTACTCGCTGCTTCTGACGAGACTTGCTGCTACATTTTTCTTCTTTGTAATGCAAGAGCATGGTTGCGGAATGTGGTCCCTCGGCCATTTTGAATACTTGAGCAGATGCTTAGCTGCGATTGGAGACCAACTTTGGTTCTCAGGGCTGTTATGCGGTGGCGAAATCGAATATCTCTCCAAAATCTATTTATTCCGCTGATAAGATTGGCTAATTAAAGAAATTTGAAATTCAAAAATTGAACCAACAAAAGAAGATAAGATTAAATAAAATAGGCTCCAATTTTTTTAAACGATTAATGAATTATTAATTTATCAATAAATTCTCCTAAATGGTTTCGGCAGGTGTCAGTCGGGTTGTAATTGAAATGCAAATTGATCTCAGCTTGACACTCATCAGGTTTTATTGAATATTAAATCGCCTCGCATATAATACGTTCATATATTTATATCCTTGCGGTATTTAATAATTATCATCGTCGTATAGACCACGTGTGTATATTTTACAATATTTCTCTCTCGCGCTAATATACATATTAAGTACACAACACAATACATCATGCTTCACTATATTTGCATAATACAATTTACCTGATATACATAAACGGACAAGTATTTATGCACGATAAACATAGTAATTTACACAATTCTCTTCCGTCCGAAGTTCGTCTAATTTATTATACAATTTTTTTCTTCAACATCAAATTCACGGTGGAGGGGAGGAATTATACGCAAGATCTATTTATTTGTTTATTTTAATAGGAAATAGGAAATGCACAGTTGCTCTCTCACTCGTATGGCAAGTCATCCTCAAATGATTTGCGCTTCAAAAGAGTCAATTAATTGTATTTATCAATCGCGTGCAAACCGAATAAATAAACCGCAGCACTTTCTTTCGTTCATTGTCCTCGTAATAAATAAGAGTGTCTCTTTTAATTAATTCGCTCACTGTTTAGTCATCGTTGGTGGAGGCGGGCGACGCCGGTCCCTCGATCATTTCGCCGTCGCTGTCCACGCCCGAGTTTAGCGTGCTGTGGTTGTACAGCCCCTGCGCCATCAGCTGCAGGGCGAGCGGATTCTTCTGGCCGGACGCTTTCTTGATTTTGGCACGTTTGTTTTGGAACCAGATTTTTATTTGCGACTCGTTCAGCTTCAGCTCTGCGGCCAGAGCTTGTCGTCGCCGTTCAGTCAGGTACCTGTTTTCCTGCAAACAAAAGAATAACACGTCCAAAGGTTACAAATTTGACCTTTTACTTTCGGTTTACTTATAATATCGATATAACTAAAATTGGGGAGTAAAATGAAACCGGGTTACCTTGCATTGAAAAAAGCATCCGCAAAGATTAAATTTATAGATGATCAGTTAGTTTTTTTCTTAATATAAGATTATGAGAAATATTGTAAACCTTTTTTCCAAGAATGATATAATTATGTACTCTTCCCCACTCTTCCCATATACTAGATAAAATAGCATAATTTTATTAAAAATGCCCCACTTTTATAAGCGAAAATTCTCAAAGGATTTGTTACAAAACAGAACTAAATTTTAAGTTTTTTAGCAGAATTTCACGGTGTTGTTTTGAATTTAAAGTCCATCGGGGGGAAAAGCCAACTTTCACTTCAAATCACCATAATATAATTTAATTGGTGTAATTGAAGATTTACCATTTAAGACAAACATACTTTGTTTCTGGAGGACAAAAGAAAATTAATTCTTTTACTTTGATTAATTGATGTTTTTTTTTTAATTTACCAGGACCTGAAAATTCCAAGTATTAAAAGTTCAAAAATCTTTGTTAATTATATTAGAATTGCCATTATTAGGCTTCATAGTTGTGCACTCTTGCCAGCATCTATCTATATAAATAAAGGTTCTGCGCTAATCTTGAAATTTTTTATATAGAATCTATAAACCTTAACAATCTAAAAGCATTTTAAGGAAACGATATACTTCTGATAATCTTACAATTATATTCTCTTAAGAATTTCATGTCAGTTTCTGTGTTAACACTCATACATCATTGATATTGAGTAAATTTTTTATTGCAAAAATGATCTCTATAACTTTTATCCACCGGAAGAATCACAATGAGGACCACCACACTCCACGAGGAGAGAATTTAGTAAAATTAATTTATAACATGTCTGATTGAGAGATACAATATAATTAAAAAATTTCCCTATATGAATTAATTAAATCCATAACTTCATGCAAATTATTTGTCTATGAAAAATTTCAAGCTAAAAAAATCAAATAATTGTAATAAATATGATAAAAATGTAATTAATTATAATTAATATATGTTACATAATTGTATTACGATTTAAAAGATGAAGATATTATTAAAAATTTATATTTTAATATTATTAATTTTACCTGAAACTCCCGTTTAAGTCTTGACAGTTGTTCACTGGTAAAGGCAGTGCGGGGTCTCTTGTCTTCAGGTTTCTTCTCCTTGCGCTTCAGTTTCCGCGACCTGGGACCTGCGAACACACAATCAAGCGCGCGTCAGAAAAGCAATTTCTTTTTCAAGAGAGAGTCTCGATTCGAAAAATCTCCTGGATAAAAATTCTTGACACGGAGCATTCCGCGGAATTCGAACGCGTCGTAATTCTTTAATTAAACCGCGCGCGTATATATCTTTTCTGACAATGAGAAAATTTCAGCGCGAGCATTCCGCGAGTGAGCAGAGTGAAATTATCATTCCGTGCAGTGCCGTGCTGCTTAAATCAATCTCTGTCAGGCAGGAAAGGCACCGCCAATGGCAGCCGCGAGTTAGACAGCAGCACTCACTCTCAGTCGCGGCATGTCCTTATAAACGCTGTACGAGTTTATTCCCGGCATGAGGAAAATTTAATGAAGAAAAAAAACGCGACGCAATGGCGGGCATTGCAATTTCATGACATGCAGCCGTAATTGAACCATTAATGCTGCTCTCTAATGCTGGGAATACACTCGAGGGGATTTACTCGGCCCTTTAAGGAGTTGACATGTCACACCTATTTACATTCATTATATTCGTATTGTTCGCGGCCTAATCGCTCTAGAAATCCAGCCGCTTCTGATATTTGATCTTGTTTTTCTCACCGAGCTCCGGTAAAACACGTGCGCGGCCGCACTTTGCATCTGTTCTATACAAATAAAAACATATGCCTATAAAGCGTAAACAAATTGTTAGATCTCAATATATTCGCTGTGTAATGAGAGCTGACCGCTTATTTATGCGGCCGGCGAGTTGAGAAATCTCATAGCCAGTGGTGAAATGCGCCGAGGTTTGCCTTTTACGAGATTAATTGCTCTCGATTGACGCATGTCAAATGCGACGAATGAGAAAAGTGCTTTTAATTGCTGCGTCAACGTTAATGGTGTCACCACCAATTAGCAGGCGATTAAAATTGAAGGCAGAATATACAGCCAAATGGTTGCGTTGCAGGACAGGTGCAATTGTTTAAAGTTCAAAAACGTTTAATTTAAAATTACCTAAGGTGAGTAAATTTCATAATTTAACTTTGAATTTTCTTTCTTTAATTGATTAAAATAATCTAGCTATTATAATCTAATTCTTTTTTATTTTTCCACACTTTTTATGCAATATTTAAATATTAAAAAGAATAAAAGCTACTATTGTTTGTTTTTGGCATCACATTCATTTAGCTAAAAAAAATTATACAAAATAAAATAAGGATTTTCAGGCTATTTTATTATAAACATTATTATTTATCAAGATTTAAATAAGCTCCTAACAAAGATTTTATTTAATCAGACTGCAGAGTGAACGTAAAATAATTATTATAAATAAGATGAGTCATCAGCAATTATAATTTAAACTACTCTAACTTTTTGACTTATAGGACTCGACATAAGGTTTGTTATTTAAAAAAATAATTATTTATTTGTAATTTAATTCAGCGCAAAAGTGAATAAAATTTAACAACTCACCTGGACTCACTCGAAATTCTTTTTGCGAGAGCAGCAATTTAGCAAAATCAATTATTCTTTATGACACATTCCCTGGTCAAAATGAGTTCCTTCCGCGAAACCCTATCTCATGCGTATATATTTATAAACACACACACATTACTTTTTATAATTTTGCTCTTTCCGCAAAAATTTAGACATAAATCATGTGCAAATGAGACACACGAAAAGCTGCAGAAAACGCCGTAACTTTTAATATCACGCGCCGTGTGCCCGCCGGAGTTTCATAACAATCAAGCCGCGAATTATTATAAAAACCGCAGCTGCTGCGTGTGTGTGCAAAAATGGCTGTTATACAAACACAAAACATTAATTCTCCGCGCTACTGTGTGTGTGTTTTATTCTCTCTCGTGTGTGCATCATTAGCAGATACGAATCAGTTCAGATGCTAATGAAGTTAAGTCTGATTCTCTTCTATATATTTATTTATATAATAATGCAAGGCAGAGATACAGCAGCAGATATGAATTTCCAACTAAATTCAAAACGAACCAAGAGAAATAAAGAAGGATAAAAACAGCTAATGATCGAGCAGATTTCTATCTCGAGTGGGTTGCGGATCTTTAAAAGCGCCGGACTAATTGTGCATTGTCCAGCCCTGCATGTTACTTCGCACCGGCTGTTTTATTTATATTTTTTTTCTGTTCAGCCAAAGGATGAGAAACACAAATAAATAAATAAATGCATTCCGAGTGTTTAGCTTCAATTTCTGCGTTGGCGCGTTCGATACGAATATAAATAAAATAAGTGTGCATTATTCGAGCTGCTCTTTTGTGTTTGTGCGAAAGTCATGAAAAACGCCCATTACCGAACGGTTTTATTTATGCGCGTCCGTCGAAGCAATTGAAAATAAAAAGTGTTTTATGTGCGCGCAGGTCATTATTGTTATATGCCTGATTATGTGTTTCATGTCAACAATACAATCCGCACGACGATGTGTGTATAAATTATTGCTGCCAGCGCACAAAGGCTCAATGTGTGTTTTGAAAAGTGGTGCAGCAGATCGGGTGACACACAAAACTCTCATGACGCTCCGTGTTATGCAAAGTTGGGCTCGTAAATTCTGTGTCGATTGGTTTCGCTTAAAATTTATATACACGGATCGACATTCAAAAGGCGCGAGTATACCGACGTGAAAAATCAATGCATTTCCTTTGCGGGAAATTAGGTGCGAATGTTAATTGTAAGTGTGGATCGACCATAAATTTTATTTTAAGCTGTTAAAAAATAAAGATTTTGATGTTTAAATTACCATAAATTCAATATCAAACAATGAAGTTGAGGGGTATAAGTTTTTCATACCCCCTCATGAGAACAGTTTCAAAGTGGAATTTTTTTTTGACAAATTGAATTTTTAAAGCGAATAAATTTTTTTCTGTATTTACTTTTCAGTTGATGATGATTATTTATTTATTTACCATTTATTCATGGTCAGAAGAGGAGTGGTGATTTTAACCAATTGTATTTATGTAACTAATTGATGTTAAAATTTAATTTATAAATAATTATTTGATTATTATGTAAGGTTTTTATAAGAAATTTTATTTAATGTAAATATCGTAAATATAAACAGAATTTTCAAAAATTATTGCTGTCAATCTAATTTTTATAAAATAATGTTTGAAAACAATTTAAAAAAATTAAATATAATTTAATAAAAATAGTAAAAGTGTTAAAAATTAAAATATAAATATTTAATTTTATTTTTTCCTTTAAGTTGATTTTTTTTTTAAATACAATTAAATGCATGTTTTTCTTTCATCCTACGATTTTAGGGTGTTCACTTTAGCGTCAATGTACAATTTTAACAAGTCAAAAAGTAGTGAAGTAAAGTGCATCGCGATAATTAATTATGTTTGTACAAGTCTTCTCGCACCGTATTATATTTCAATTTGCATGCATAATAAATCAGGCGATTATGAAATTTATTGCTGCGTGTGCTGTATCATATATATTTTCGCTGCTCTCTTTCTTTCTTTTCCGCTCACTCGCCAGCGCTAATCCGTCTATTTATTATTCCAGGCGAACACCTCATTGCTTTCTGCTGCAATTCGCGAGAACGCGCGGATTTTGCTTCCCTCGAAAAATGCGACGTGCAGCGAGCGGCCCTTTTTGAGAAGTGCATTAAATCGGCGCTTGTTATGGAATAATAATTACGTTTCTAGCTATAAATCGCGTGGGTTTGCTGCACAAAGGCTCGTCTGGGTGGTCCGGCCACTCACTCTCCGCTACTATACACAGTGTGAACCGGCTTTCGCACGCTCCTGCTCCCCGGCAAATATCTTTCAAGTGATCTCCTTTTATACCGATCGATGCAGTAATTACTTCTCTGCTCTCTTTGGTAAAACATTCCAATTGCTAATATCCAGAAATTATGAAAAAAAATTAACATAATATCAACTTTCTCATTATATCAATAAAATTTTAATATTATTTTCAAACTACGGGAGTCACATTGAATAACATTTATTGTTATTTTTAATTCTGTAAAATTTAATAAATAGTTTGTATTTTGTCCGGATTTTGTCTGCGTATTAATTAATAATTCATTTGATGCCATTTAGAATAAATGAAAAACAAAGAAAGGAATCTTTATTTCCTTTAAAGAAATAAATCAACTTTCTCCTATACTTAAATCAAATTATTTTAGCACAAAAACTCACAAGAACATGAATGAAATATGTGAATTTAACATAATATTGTTTTGGATAAAAAAAAATAAAAAAAATGAAGAATCTTGAAAGGCTACGGCTACACTCTCCAAATGTATTTAAATTTAGTTTAAATTTATTCTTCTCTTCTCTTCAGCTTTTAATATTGTATTTATTATTTATTTTATCAAACAAATCCACAAAGTAGAAAGTTGATGATGTTTAAATTGTATATGATTAAAACAAATATAGGATACTTAATAAAAATTATACAAATTTCATTTAAATGGAAAATGAACCTAAGAAGTTTTTTAAAAACAATAATTTAATTTATTTCTCAGTTTTCAATGTGGAAACACCCATAAAATAATAAAAATTTTAATAATTAAATAATTACAAAATCACCACGTGAATAGAAAATTGAAAACTATTTAATGAATGCTATGAGAGATTAATACATTTTATAAACTTGGCACGCGAAATTATTGTCAGATTCGCCTTTTGTGACTGAAATTGCCGTTATTATAATAAATAAAAAGTCTAGCGCAGTTTTTCAGCGCGCGGCGGAAAGTGGCAGGATGAGAGGCATATAATAATAACATTATAATATAGCTTCCTAAACGGCGCAGACCACACACGTTCGCTCGCGACGGAGAACGAAATGCGAGCAAAAGTGCGGCGGATTGGCACAGTCGAAAGAACGGCGAGAGAAAAACAATGGCCAGAGCCACCGAACAAACAAACAGAGAGCGCCGCCGGCCGTTTTGATACACGCGAGGGGCGGATTATCAGGAGTGCAATCATGATTTATTAATGCCGCATTAATAGCTGCCCGAGATTAGCCGCGGAATATT